AATCCACTGCACACCAATTAATTTCAATATTGTGGAGAACACACGTTTCCCATGCTAACGTGAGGAAGACATTCACATTCTTCTATATTTTCTTATTCTTAATCCTGTAGAGAAAAGAAAAGCAGATAAGCAGAAATTATTTCCATGATAAAGCAAACGGAACTGAATTTAATGAGTATGTGAAGAGATATGAAGGAATTGACTAGGGTGTATTGGGAAAGTGTGACATGATTCAAATCGAATTGACCACAACTGATGTTCAACTGAGAAGAAGTTGTCAGTTGGGTTTCGGTAAATGCCAAATCTTTGATACATTGCCTGATCCTCTTCAAAATACTGGATGTGATTTCATATGACATCACGTGACATGATATGATATGACATGACATGAATAAACTGGTGGTCCACCGAATGACACAACTCTTGTCCCCAGTGTTCAAGATACAAATAATATTGTATTCACATGGGCTGGATTTGAATCTCAGCTATGCATATTTAAATATAAATACGGATGTCAGTTGCTCTCATCAGTCGATTTCGAAAGGTTAAATATGTGGAGTTCGTATGAGGTCGTAGGCAAATCTTACGTTTCAACCTGTCGAGGGCAGTTTCATGAATGTTCTTGAACACTTGAAATTGAAAGAGAGATATAAAGGTGACGTATTAGTTGAAGGGAAGCAAGCCTTGTTCATCACTGTGTAAATCCCTTCTCCCGCAATAGATGAAATCTGATCGGCAGCAATAAAATACATTATATAAGTGCATGTGTATTCAAGATATGCGATGAAAAACATATCATGCCCAATCAGTCAACACTTCTTGTATAGTGGAAACACTCATGTGTAGCTAGGTCATTGGTAAAGAGTTCAAAATCAGCGTTGTGAAGACGATTCACTGTCGTCCTAGTTGTTGTTTTTGATTTTCACAAATGTATGTATTGATTAGTCACTCTCCCTGACGGGTATGAACATACACGTGAACAAACCGGATAGTTTCTCCTCAGCGAAATTCCTTTCATCACTGTCTCCTACATTTATGGTATTGTCATGCAAACATGCACACTGATCAAGTTCTTTCTTAACAGGGTCACTTTGCGTAGCATAGTGGTAGTTATGTGTGCATGCGCAAAGTTCCAACCTCTGTAAAGCTGAACTGTCGACGATTTCGATCTGAAATGTGATCCGTTAGTGGACATTTCATATTATTCTAGTTTTCTGCTATCGACGCACAATCTTCAGCCAACAGGCCTATATCCAAGCAAACGTTGCATACCGACTAAAAAACTGATGCACTATTCCCCGGAAACCTCAACATTCCATATTAAATAGATTATGCTTCTTAGTTGTAAATAAATAACCATTGTCAAGCGAACAATAGCCGCGTCATCCTCAAGAGGTATACGCATGATGTGACCGCTGATTACACGGAGTATCAGGCAACTATTTTTACTTTGTTTTTGCGAATAGATATTAACGCATAAATGGAGAGTGTAAAGCTCATGAACAAAATAGACTGAACTTACAAATAGCTTGACCATACAGCATTCCTTGATAATATGAATATTTTATTTCATTCTTCAATACGTGGAAATCTGAAATTTGTAAGATTATGCCTGCATTTAAAAACTGAATGTCACAGAATCATGTAGTGAAAGGTGGCATAATGTGTTGTTGTTTGAGCAGACGACTGCTTGTTCATTCATCACTTGAATGTTGATCACTAAACGTCTTTGAAGACAGTCAAAATACTTTTGACAAACCCCTGCGTTGGCTTATTATTTCTCATCATGTGTTGAAATCACAAAAAATTTCAACTTGATCATTATTGGTGGACTGATAAGTTTTACTTTTATGTCAATGTACACGAGCGTTTCAGTTACATCAACCGCATTCTCAACTACATGGAAAAGATTCGCAGACTGCAGACTTTACGTCATTGCCCTTCACAGATGTAATGTGTGATACAAACCTTGAAGATAAGGTTATCCGATTTCACACTTGATATTGCATCCTGCACATTAGTAATTCAACTTCCAATTCACGGACAATGCGACAAGATCGAAAATATGGTGTACTCTGTCGAAAACGAACTCCTATAAGAATACATTTGAATTTCGAAAATTAACATCATGAGATTCAGAAATTTATTTCGAACATCTTCCGATGCAATAGTCTTACAGAATTTATTTCATGTGCAAGTTATCAATATTGAATTACCTTCTCCGTGTACTGACGGTCTATATTGTTCACAGTCAATTGATTGTACTGATAGCAACTGAGCTGATGAAGAAACAGAAAGAAATAGCAGGACATTGAAACAATGTGAAGGGAACATTCATTGAACGTATCATCATCATCATCATCAACTCCTCATGCAACTACAGATCTATCGATTGGTAAAACACTACACGAATCAATATGAAATGAGTCATCCTGAGTAGGATATCTCCACTCCTAACTGTTTGGTTTGTACCTGAAATTATCGACAGGGTTCAAAAATGAAATTGACATTGACACAACAGGTAGGATCAGGTAGGGATGTATATTGGATAACTAAGTGGAAAAGAAAAATACAAAGCTAAACTGCTTACCTGCGTAAGTATTAGCCTGATCTTGGACACACTGTCGAAGAGAATGCTCCTCTGTGTATGGACCTATATGTAAATGTATTTGTTTAAACAACATATCAACTCAAGTTCATTATCTTCAAATGTAGCGTGAGATAAATATGTCAATTAAACTCTTGAATGGTGAGTGATTCAGCGGTTTCTATGGGACATATTCTGAAAAAGCTATATTGGCATAGGTTTATTTATTTATTTATTTAAACGCAGAAGAAAAAAGCTTGGTACAATATGGCACCAAGAAAGATGCGCCACACAATAATAATAAAACAACATAGATTAAAAGTAAAAATATAAGTAGAAAACGGATAAAGAACTTCATCTGGAAGGAAAACAGTCATGTTTAACAAGTTCAAACAGTATTCGTTACCTATCATCAGGAAGGGAAGAAAGAAGGAAATTGTAACACGTTCGCCATTGATTACGATTCTTGACCATATCCGATAACGTTTCGAGCCATCGATTCGAGCTGTCTCTCAGACTCCAACCAGAGAGACGTGACGCACCAACCAATGTTAACCCAGAACAAATATCCTTCATCCCACGTCGCCACGTCATGGACTGACCACCCGTCCGCCTTTTCAATCCCATCTCAGGGCTAGCGAACAGAGACCTGTACGGAAGCCTCTGGGATGACATTCGCAGCACATGTCTAAGCCACTGGAGCCGGTGTTTCCAGATGACTACAATCAGTGAATGGTGATCTCCACTGTGTTCAAACACACGCCGCCAAACCTCAGAATTACTCACGCGATGATACCATCGAACTCAACCAATCCTGCAGAGACAGCGATGATCGAACACGCAGAGCCGTCTCACATCCTCAGCTCGGAGAGGCTAGGTTTCACTGGCGTAGAGCAATACAACCCGCACCAAAGCATTGTATACCCGCCCTTTGACAGCCAGGCTGATGTCGCGACGGCGCCAGAGGTAGCTCAAGTTGATGTATGCCACCCTAGCATTCATTATACGGTTGGAAATCTCAGCCGTCACTCCTCCGCCAGCACTCACACAACTATCCAGATACACAAACTTATCAACAACTTCAAGCGGTTCACCCGCAAGAGTGAGTGCAGGTACAGGCTCCTGCCAATCTTGTAACAGTACTTTGCACTTAGACGGTGCAAAGCACATACCATACTTACAGACACTGATCGCCAACTGATTAAGTGCGATTTGGGCAGCCTGCATGCTATCGCACAGTAAGACGATATCGTCTGCATACTCGAGGTCGAAAAGTCTATCTCCAGGTAGCAGATCTACACCACCTTCACGCACATCCTTCAGAGCTGACTCCAGAATGTCATCGATGGCAAAGTTAAAGAGAAATGGAGAGATTGGGCAACCCTGTCTAACCCCACTGTCAGTTGGGAACAGTGATGATAGTTGGTTGTATGCCCTCACTCTACCCTAGGTGTTTCTGTGTAGAGCTTTCAGGATGTTCACAAACTTTTCAGGTACACTCCTCTCTAACAGACAGTTCCAGAGCACAGTTCTGTCCAACGAATCGAAGGCAGCCCTAATATCAAGAAACACAACGATCGTTGGCCTGCAATACGTGTGGCGGTGTTCCAACAACTGACGAACGGTGAACACATGATCAATGAATCCACGACCTGAACGAAACCCAGCCTGCTCTTCGCGAATCAATCCTTCACGTATTTTGCACAGCCTGAGAAGCAAGACAGCAGCCAATATTTTAGACGCGACTGGTAGCAGACTGATAGCCCTATGATTGTCACAGGAATTACGTTGACCCTTTTTAAAGATTGACATAGGTAGTTATTTTCGATAATTCTGGCTTCAGATTGTGCAGTGACACACTGATGAATGTTTCGCATAAAATGGCTAGTAAAATATATGATCGGAATTTTGATAAGCGTCATGTGTTGTGGAAGAATGACTGTCAGTGGGTAGTAATAACTTCGATAAATTGTTGAATTAGTAATAAAGGAGGTATTTTGGATGAGGAGGGGGGAGAGTATGGAGAGACGGTAGTATGGATAATAAATAGATGGTGAACATTAAGCAAGTCGAGTATGAATTGACTACATGATTCCCAGAGATAACTTCAACGTCGTCGAATTCAAAGTGGTTTTCGCTCTCGAACAGATTGTAGGAATAGATTTTAACTGTGAAAGCTTTATCAACGCTCCAATTATACAATGGACGCATACAAAGTGATAAAACAACCATACACACGAAGTCAGTTGACAGAAATTCAATTTACCAAACTGTTCAGGTTCATGTTGAATTTTGTATACCATATCTGAAAAGACAGAAAATGATAACTGACATTAAGAGATTATGCAAAAGAATAGTTTCTAGTGCAGCAATGATCGCTGAAATTCATGTGGATTTACCTCACAACCTCCTGATTCTGTGGTATACTGAAGAATAATTTATCAATCTCTTCTACTGATTATTACAATGGAATTACACTGACCAGGCAACAACATGCAGTTATCGTGAAATTTATTATTCCTAATAACGGCCAAAGATGCAATTGGTTCCTTTCAAACATTCACTTCCTATGAAGTTGTTTTCAGTCAACATCGGAATCAACTTCTCCATCGATTCCATGAAATCTTCATTCCATCTGAATGGCTAGTAGACGTCATCTGCCTACGGTGCAAAATCGGCGCCTAATTGCTTTTGATTGATGTATGACTTTAGCGAGTGTAGTGCATGGTTTCAAATCCAACTAGTGGAGAATGAGTGGGTCTAACTGGATTGAAGATTTATGGCTGTTATGAGCATCTCTAGAGGAGCAGGAGAGAAATTCGCTGAACATGTTTCCTTCTTATTTACTTCAATAAATCACATTCCTCTCAACACTAAATTAGTGAGAACTCTTAACAGATAATTGTTTCAAGTCTGACAGTTTAGGCACATCATTGCAAGATTTCACTAAACTGTTCTTGTTGCAACTATGTCGTATCTTATTCAAATGTTGAATATTTTATGCAAGAACAATAAACGAAGGTCATTTCATAACAATGTGAATAAGAGTAATATATACAACCGGTTCGAAGCGCAGATAAAGAGGGACGGCTGGATGTGGAGATAACGACCCTATAACACAAAACCGATTAATCCGATATTAAAGCTTTAATGCATAAAGAAAATACTGAAAATGCGAAAAATATAAAACACAAACCTATTATCTGCTGAAGTTGGAGAGGCGAATTGTCTCAGGCTGTTGGAAAACTTCGAGAAAACAATAAGCCAGCCGGTGTGACTTCTCTCGATGTAAGCGAGGATAAGAATAGCACCGTGGAATGTACGTACAATATACAAGGCTGAGAAGGCTGTCCAGGCAGTCAAAGAAATTGTCATCCAGAGAGTTAACAAAATAATCCAGGCTAATCATCCAGATGGCTACCACGAAAATACTGAGGCAATTAGCAGCTATCATGATGTCACCAGTAGAAGCCAAAGCCCTAATGCAGAGGGAACCAGTTCCATCCAGGATCATGACAACAAGGAAGGAAGGCAAGAAGGTCACAATTATCATGCCATGCCACGCAAACTGCTACAAACAACGCGGGACAAGAGAAAAAGGAAGATTTCCATGGACATCTAGGAACAGTAATGGACACCGTCTCAAATGGTGACATTGAAATCCTCATTGGCGATATGAATGCCAAACCGAGAGCAGGTGAAATAGGAAGAGAACTCATCATGTGTCGAGAGGCAGTGGCTTAGCAAAATCAATGAGAATTGAGAATTATTCGCAGATTTGTGCACCTTCACTAAATCGGTGATTAGAGGCAGTACGTACAAAGTTAAGGACATACACAAGGCAACATGGATTTCACCTGACGGAAATAACCCAAATCAGATAGACTTCATCTCAATGTAGCTCAAGAAAGTGGAGACGCAGCCTGCTTGACACAAAGTCAAGTTCAAGGAACTTTCAAGATGAGGCTGAAATTCATGAAAACAGAAGGAGACAGACCACAATTCAAGTTCAACACTCAGAAAGTGAAGGACAAAACCACAAGAGATTCCTTCATTGCAGACCAGATCAGAGCGAAATTGGAGACACTCCATATAGGAATGACTGAGGAAACCTGTGTGAAGGAACACTGGACTTCTCTGAATTTGGTGTTCAAGGGAACGTGTAAAACTGTTCTAGGAAGAAAGAAGAAGAGAAAAGACAAGGAAAGGCTCTCGACGGACACCTACCCCGAAGCTAATTGAAGAGAGGGTAGAGAATGGTGAAAGAGAAGATGACTCAATGCAAAGATGGAGAACAGTGGGAGAAGCTGAGTTCAATGTTATCTTCACTGAACAAAGAAGTGAGGAAGAGTGCTACGACAGAATTAAGACGATTCCACGAAACACTGGCCGGTAACTGAAGCAGAAGAGACAGGCCACAGTTAAAAGAGACCTCAGGACATTATATGAGATAACCATGTATCTGTCCGTAAGCGATCAACGCAGGTTGACCAGGAAGTAATTTTAAAACTGCTTCAACACTATGGCATGTAGTGCTCAAATTGTTAACATCCTCATCCAACACCTATATGACAATGCGATGTGTCAGGTGTTCCACAACGGAAAACTCAGCGAGGCTTTCAGAGTGAATACATAAGTAAGACAAGGCTGGCTGCCTATCACCACCGATGATATTCTTAATTGTGCTGTCCTGGATTATGAGTCAGGCAGTGCGTGGGAGTGAGAAGACAGAAATATGTTGGACCACCGATAAGAATATTAGAGAAGATATGCACATCGAAGATAAATCGTGTCTAATGTCACATATACTCAAAGACTCACAGGCGAAAACCAACAGGCAGCGAGGACGGAACTCCAGGTGAACAAATTGAAGACGGAGGTGATGAAGATAATCAAACGATCAATGGCAACAACAACCAGCAGCAATCTCGATCAACAGGAGACATTTGACAGAGGTTACTTCCTTCACTTATCTAGGAGGCAGAGTTTCAAGCACAGGCGGATGTTAGGAATGAAGACGTCGAAGGTGGCTGGAATCGGAAAGGCAAGACACTGTTCCATCAACCTGAAGGCAGTTTGCAAACCTACTGCACTCAGCCAGCATGAAGAACAAGATTCGGATTTTCAACACAAATGTGAAATCGATTCTCCTGTACAGGTCAGAAACTGGCGCTACATGTCACGGAAAGTATTTCCGACAAGTTACAGACTTCTATCAACGTTTGCTTACTTCGCCGCCTCCATACTGAAGATCAAATGGCCGACCAGCCAGAAACAATTAGCAACAATACACTCTGGCCAGAGACAAACCGGACAAGAGCCTATTGCCCAACGAAAATGTAGGGGAAAATAAAGATGGGTTGGTCACACGTTGAGGAGGCCGTCGAATGACATCGCACTCAATGTAGGCCATCACTCGATTGAAAACCGAATGGGAAAGGATGAGTGGGTTGTCCTAGTGAGACATGGACGAGGTTATTCGAGAAGAAGACAGTACAAAGTGGAGATGTTTTGTTGAAGTCCTATGTTCCACTCGGAATAATAATGATAATAAAGTTGAAATAAATCCTGAAACTCACTCATGAATAATTCTAGTCCATATACGTTTTCATAGAACTTTCTCCAACAGCTGATATCTGGAAGAGTTTATTAGTCATCGAAATTCGAAAATTAATCACTCACAGCTCTCAACGCTGTCGTTGACTGTTCCTGCAGTTGCATTATTGATCTTATCTAGTAAAAGAGAGAAGTAGGAAGATCTATTGCATGAAACCGGACACATTTATACAATTCAAAATTTACTATGTACAAAACAGCGAGCAAATTTGCTATTGTTGGAGCATGCCAACGCCGTGTTGTATTCACTTTATAACAGAGTGAATGTCATGAAAGTGAACGTGTGAAGTGTTTCCGATCGGAGTGAATATGAATAAATGTGAAGTGAATTAAGAAACCAGGTAGACGCTTGTTGATGAGTTCACCGTCATATGATATTCACTTGAATCATTCAAATTACTCCATATGATCTCAAATTAAAAAATTAAAAAAAGATTAACAGGAAACAGCCTTTGGGGAAAATCTCTTGAAAAGTATAACAAATATCTAATGGAAATACAAGATGCGGAAATCGAGAAGACCAAGTGAAATCATAAAATCACATGAAATATTTGTCTACCTTTCTGTCGTTTAATCTCCCCTTCACTGATGAGAATCGACTGAGCTAATCTGGGTAATTCATCTGTGAAGGAGAAAGCGATAGTTATTTTGAATTACTAAATTACTAGAGAAGCGACAAGATGTGACGAAGCGTCAAAGAGCAGTACCTACACACAAAAGCTTGTGTAGGATAATATCAAAAACCCATTATATATATTCATATCAAGTCAATCGTCTTACCTCGAGAATTCAAAAGCAACTTCTCAATGTCTTCTTCTATCATGGTCGATTCGCCTTGAAAATCTGCAAAGCGAAAGGAGCATCCATTGTTATACAAACCAAAACTTGTTGAATAACACATGAATACGATCCGAGAATTTGTTCATTTCAAATGCCTTTAGAGTCATTTGAGTATTTGATGTATTTGATCGCAGATTTGAAACACGCTAGTTAGCAGAACGTCAGTTGGAGTATTCGACGTCAGTGAAAGCATAAAATTGAAATGTTCACTCCTCTCATGTTCCATTTCGGAAACGGAGAGATCACGAACATAGAATTATAATTCATCAACGGAGGAAAGTGATGTGTTGAGGTGATAGTGAAAACTGTGTTGGAGACACAATCAGCTTTCGTTCAGAAATATGATCATGGAAGCGTCTTACATAATACTGACAGGATAAAATAGTAAAATTCATCATAATGTAGAACGGATAAATTTGAATAGATTGAGTCACAAATTCACAGTCATTTCAATATAAATTTACCTTTGCTTACGGCAGCAAATACTAGCAGCGTTATCATAGATATGTGACTGTACATTGAGTTGAACATATTCTCTTCTTTTTTTGTTTTGTCAGGCTTTACTCTCCAAATTTTATACTGCTATTGGTAGTGAGTCAAACTGTTGCAATCAAATTGTTGGTTCATAAAATTAGTAGTGCTTATTTGTTCATTTTTCATTTGTTCAAATAGGTCATTGTGGTAAGAGTCATAATTGGTGGATGATTGAGTGAGCACACGAGTGAATGAGTGGGTGGCTGTTCAGAGAGCAGAGAATAAACTTGTTTCGAAGCTGGAGTGAATATTCTCCCCCATATACTACAAGTCAGTCTAGCGACAAAATTCTTACTAGATGTTGATGAAACATGAGGATGTAGGCAATAAGCATTCATCTGCCTGAACGAAATGTTCATTTTCTAAACATATGGTAGAAAAGATTGTCGAGAAATCAACATTCAATCAATAATCATAAACCATCATAAATGATGTTTGTGAATATTTGCCACATCGAAATCCCTTTCAGAATGTGGAGACGCATTCCTTGAGTACATGATTGGAATTCTTTTATTCATTTTATTCATTCTTTTATTCCATTCATCATCTGACATTGATGCCAAAATATTCTCAACGCTGTAGTCCCTTGATTGATTCCGGCTAATTTCAATGTTCGGGGTGCCAGGAAGAGAGGATAACATGGTGAGAGAATATTCTTTCTCATATTAGTCAATCATAGCAGAAGTTATTGTGCCAGAGACTCGACGTTCATCCATATATATCTGTATATAAAACGACTTGTTGAATACGAGACTGCAGTCTGTTCAACTCCATTCTTCGTAGCTTGACATTTGCGCGTTTAATCGATTTTGAGAAATTACAGAAGATGAACATGAGTGTTCAGCGCTCAGTGTGATAACTATTTCATGGTATTTTTTGTTTCCCTATTTTACATGACTTTTTTATGATAACAGCTTGATTTCACAAAGTATTTTTGATACAAGTATGTAATTTTCAGCATGTGATATCGGTTGCCAAAATTTTGCTGGCCGATCATTGATATCAGGTGTGCGTCGCCAGGGGATCGCAGCCGGGACCATCTGCATGGTTGATGAGAATCCTAACCAATGTGCCTCTCAAGACAGACCGTGAGACATTGTGAGTGATATTGCTATTGTGTGTTGAATCACTTCTCATGCTGAGAAGATGTGATGTGAATAGCTACTTCGACGCGCCACACACTATCATCATATCTCACAGACATCTACTCGGATACTTCACTTCTCTACTCTGTTTAAACAGCATGATGCCAATTGTGTTAAAAAGAAAGAAGCAAAATGAGGCGAAGTGAATGAGAATGTTTGTGTGATTTCTGAAAATCTACAAAATACACAGGAATTCAACCTTAATAATAATGAAAAGCATTTCCTGTAAAACAACAAAGTGGTATGGGGGTGAAACAGACTACAAGGAATACGTTCGCATATGCAGACTAGTGATTATTGATTCAAAATAGTGCTGATGGTCTAATTACTAAAAAAGCTATCGTCGTACGAGTGAATAAAAATTGTTTCCAAAATTAATCTAGTTGTAATTGAAGGTGATAGAAATTCAACAGGTCACTTCGTTAGTCAATAATTTGTATATTGATTAATTTGAAAGTTTACCTTACACAAATAAAACTATCCGGATGTAGTAGAGTAGTAGTACTTCCAGTAGTCTTAGCTGTAATAATGATATTCCCTGATATGTTGACAAAAAGCTACACGGATATGAGTGAACATTATTGCTGGTTTCATCTCCTTTCCTTCCTTACCAGGAGAGATATTTGATTAACTCGTTGAGAGTTCAGTCAGTCGACTGCATCATCACAAATGATGTATGTGAATATTTATACCTTTCAGAATGTGGAGATGCATTCACAACTTCAGATAACCAAGTGTAATAGATATTCACTTGGATTACATTGTAATCTAGACTCACTCGTCACATTTTGACTGTGACTTTAGTCTGTTTCATATCATCTATGTGGTTTGATGGATATACCACGCACCATTCAACATGCATGACGTTTGTCAAATGACTCTGAAAGGAGTAAGAATTGTGTTTTCACATTTTCAGAATATCCTGCTTACATCAGTGTTCCGTGAAATATATATTCACTAGGTCTTCCTTCAGACTTATAACACGGGAAACACAGATTGATCGAAGTATTGAGCAACTCCAGAACTCCTGAGGACTATCGTAATAATCTGTGAAACAATGAACGCCAGTGCTTGACAGACTCTTTGTTTGGTCTCGCGGAAAGCCATCAACAACTGGCATGACCAATCGACTGCTTGATCAGTTGGAACATTCAAAGACCAATACATGATTTCGTTTACTAACGAATTTTCTTATGAATACATAGATTGACATGGATGTTTACTATCTGATCATCACTGTTCAAATGTTGACCGAACACACTCCACATAACACGCCTAAATATGCCACACAAGATGGATGATGTTTGCTTTGAATCTACGATGGTGATTGCCATCTCTCATCATATTACCTGGTGTATGCATTTTATTGTCGTTTCACTGTCCTATATTGATGAATTCATTCATTCTGGCCGATTTGCACGAAGCTTGAATTGTGGATGAATTCACCCATGGTGTGAAGCCATTGAGCGGTATTTTGTCGTCGACAGGATAGGAGAGTGAAATGATTCATTTTTTAGACAGAGTTACGGTGAAACACAGACGGCATAATATTGTGAGACGATATTCTGTCTCATAATAGTCAATCGTGATGTGGCGGTCGCTTCTATTAGCTGCACATAAACAGAAGTTCATCGGAATGAAAACATCAAATAACCGGTTGATGCATCTGATGTCAGAGAAGGCAAATGATACAGCATTATGAAAATACACGAGAGACGTTAATAGAACACAAAGAAACACGACGTGAAGTCCAGAAGTAGCACAACACGAAGATCTGTGCAAATGGTGCATTGAAGATAAGGTGTGTATAAGCTGGATAAATAGAGAAACCTGTTTGCAAAAGAGCATTTCTTTACCAAGTCTTTAGTCCTCAATCGTTACAATAAGACAGAGGATTGAGTCAGTGATTCCACTTTCATATACATATATAACCATACAACGACTTGTTGAGGGAGAGTCTCCAATCAGTCGCTCCTCATTCCGAGCAGCATGACATTTGCACAGTGAACTGATTCAGAAAAAGTAGAAAACGAGAAATATATGTGTTTGGTACTCAGTGCGATAATTATCTCACAAACATTGTTGAAATGCATTCAAAGAGAGAACACGAGACAATGTGAGTGATGTTGCTGTTGTGTGTTGAATCAGCATTCTCACTGAAAGTATGTGATGTGAGTAGTTACGTCAGTGCCTCAAATCATATCAGTACATTATACAGAGGAACCTGAAACAAATAACCTCCTTTACCTACCGACCTGGGAAGCATCGTTTCAACTACAGGCCGGAGGAACTGACGAGGATATCAAAGCAAGAATCGGAAAAGCAAGACAAGCTTTCACTACTCTCAAGTCTGTGTGGAGGTCAACAACACTCAGCATGAAAAATAAGATCCGGATTTTCAACTCCAATGTGAAGTCAGTCATTGTTGCTATACGGATCAGAGACTTGAGCGCGTCATAAAGAGCATCTCAAACAAACTACAAACCTTCATTAACAGTTGTCTTCTCTCAATACTCAAGATCAGATGGCCAGAAAAGATCAGCAACAGGGATCTTTGGGAACGAACCAACCAGGAACCGATTGTGAAACAAATAGGCAGGAAGAAATGGAGATGGATTGGCCATACTCTGAGTAAACCATCAAGTGACATCACTAGACAAACCATTGCTCGAGTGGAACCCGAATGGGAAGCGGCGAGTTGGTCGTCAGTGCAACAGCGGGTGACTTGGATGAGGTCATGTGAAGAGGAGATGAAAACGTGTGGGCAGACTTGGAGCTAGGTGAAGACTCTAGCAGAGAACAGAACGCAATGGAGACGCACGGCTGAAGCCCTATATTCCTGTAGGAATTAAAGGATACAATAATAATACATCATACAGACACCTCCTCTGATGTTTCTATGCGATACAGTGAGATCCTTCACTTCTCTACTCTATCTAAACAACATCATGCTGATTGTGTTGCACAGAAGTGAAGTGAAGTGAAATTATTGAGAATGTTTGTTTGATTTGTGAACATTCACAAAATACACAGGAATTCGATCTCATTATTATTATTGAGGAGTATTTCAAGTCACAGAATTTATCAGGCTATATACTTCTCTGATAAAATCAACAAAGTGGTACGACAGTGAAACAGACTACAAGAATTTCTCTCTCATCTGTAGGCTCGTGATCATTGATTATTATTAATCCTGATTTGTTGGTGGTCTAATTACTAAAAGCTCTCATCGTAGAATTCAATATTTCACGTTCTCAAAGGCAACACTGTTGTAATTATAGCTAACAGAAATATATAATGTGTCACTTTCTTATTCAATATTTTGTATACTGAATATTTTGAAATGTCACTCTACATAATTTAAACTATCTATTTGTAAAAATTTCCATGGACAAATGACCTTCAAATAAACTGATTTCAATTTATGTAAAATTTTTGACTATATATTTTGATGATTAATAAAATCCGAATAAATCTGAGTGAATGAACATAGACTATGCACGAAACATCCACCTAGAAATGAAGTAGAACTAAAAAGTCTAGAAAAAAGATCGGCTATAGCAATGCATGTGCTATAGACAGCGGACATTAGATTGATTTCGACAATGTCGAAATTCTTGGAAGAGGATTTCATTCACATAAAGAAAGATTGGCTTCTGAAGCCTTGCACATCTTAACCACATCGAATGCAGTGAATAGGAAAGATGGGATAGACTTATCACTTATATGGCAAACTCTTATGAAGCAAGATAGATGAAAAAACAATAAACACTCTATGAGCCTCCATGACCTTTTAAAACATGTATTAACTTGTTTGTCTAATATGAATTCACGTAATTTCGACATGACAAA